GCTGCTTTTTCAGTTCTAGTTGATCCCAACCGCTTTCTACTACAGTTGAGGTGTTAGCGCCTGTTACGGCACAGTAGAGATCAATCTAGAAGTTTCGAAATTTGGTGGTTGGTGTCGACAAGGGGTTCAATGTTTCTCGTACCAAATTGCTTATAGCTGCTCGTGTTTCACGATCGTACGAGAGTCGCGATTCGAAGTCACTGACGGCTTTCCGGCATTTCTCTTCAATTTCCTCGGCTGAGTCATTGATCTGAAACGAAAAGGAATCCCTAGATATCACTGTACTCAACAAAATTGTAGTCTAACGGGTCCAAGACGGAATCAGCCCAGACCTTTAGGATGTGGTGGCGGCTCACCTAGACTGCCTCAGATGGCTTACTTCGCTTTCTCGCTTTCATCTCTTAATAATCGCTGCGAAAATCTTGGTGTTGGTTCCTTATTTATCTATTTATTTAATATTATGAAGTAATACGTGGCCCCGTAGGAGTTATCGTTATTTCCATTAATAAAAAATCAGGTGGTGACAAAGAATGATCTCAGAAAAAGCCCATTGAGAGTACGTAGCTTCTTCTGTTCCATACTGCCCTTCGTATCAACCAAGCTGATACTCGGCGAAATCATCACTTACCTCCAACCTCGACCTTTCACTCTTTTCTGATTTACTCATTTTCTTGGAAGGGTCTCGTAAGCTCCGCAGGCGAGAAGCAGCCGGCTGTACCACCTAAATTTTCTCACATTATAAATCACCTATGTTGACAGCTCCAGAGGAGCATTTTCCGATATATCTGAGGGAAAAACATTATTACCTGCTTGGGTCGTGGGAAAAACGAAGTTTTATAAAACATATTGAAGTGACCAGATAAATCAGCCAAAAGATTCATGTGTTGAGCTTGATCAGCCCCGACCGGTACATGAGTTGCCTGGCATTGAAATGGTTGAAAATGAAGCTCATAATTTTTTTCAAATCGATTTCATTTTCACAGAAAACATACCTTGAACATTAAGACATCAGCTGATTGAAGTACTGGATAGGAAAGAAGCCCAACAGGAATATTGCCACGAGAAAACCTTGAAAACAGTTAAATGATATCCTCGCAGTGAAGTTTTCTAGGCTTTGAGCAGAAATGAAACCCAAAGAAGGGAACGCATTCCCAAGAAGATTCATATCCACTATTGGATCCGCCGCAGCTGAGTTCCCTTTTGTAAGTTCGAGGT